CTTCTCTCTCTCTCTCTCTCTCTCTCTCTCTCTCTCTCTCTCTTTCTCTCTCATACTATCCAAAAATAATAATCCTTGAGAGTTTCGCATCTGTACACGATTTATTAAAATGACGATTAAAGAAATGAAATAATCGTTCAATAAAATATCTTTCAAATTATTGTATTTTAGAAGAATAATGTATTTTTTATACACCTGTGTTCGTGCATGTGAAAAATGCAGGAGATTACATACAGATGAAATAATAAAACAGAACGTATCGTAGAACGATAATAAAATAGAACGTATATCGTAGTATTTAAATTTTTTAAAGTAAGTGTATCAGTATAATTTATAAATTAATTCTTTAATTCTAAATGCTGCTTTAAATAAACTCGGAGAAATAAATATTCTCTTCTATTATAGTAAAATAAAACCGCGCCAATATTAAATGAGAAAGAGAAACATAATTTTTCATTAGAATTTTATTAACTTCGAAATGTTGAGAATCATTGATCTTCAATATTCTTGAAAAACGTGTTACATAAAATAGATAAAATAATAATAGGTTAAATGATTAATTTCAAAATGTCACCGATTATTTTGGTAAACTCTATTAACCTTATTTAATATGATGAAAATAATTTTATCGAGTTATACCAAATATGATTTAAAAAGTATTTAGTAAATTAATGAAAGATTGAAAAATAAAATTTTTATTAATTAATATTTTTATTCTCGAAATTCTGCAAATTATGACTGATGTCGAATCTGGTAACGAGGAAATGAGAGCAACGAAAAATGAGATAGGATGAGAAAGAAATTAGTAGGAAAGTCAAAGAAATAATAGGAAAATGAGGAAAAAGACGGCACTTGAAGAGGGACACAGTCGAAAGACAAGCAATTATAAGAGGATGACACATGTAATCTCTTCATTATGCAGAGGAAGAATTTGTATTTAAGTGAGATTGTTGTAAAAAATTTAAAATAAAAATGATTTTACACCGCAGTAATTTTATATTAGAACTTACAAAAATAGATTATTGTAACAAATTATTTTTAAAAATAGATCTTTCTAATCTGTGAGAGACATTTTAAATTATATAGTTAAGAAATGCATTCACGTTTTGTATTTTAAAATAATGTACAATAATGCTTAATGATAAAACAGAATACTATTGAACATTTACTGATAATTATATAATAATTTATGTATAATTAACTATATTTTAGAATTTATTGCATATCAAAATGTTAATAAA